ACACATCGCTTTAAATATTTTAAAGGGTTCATTTTTTCTTCCTCCCTCCCTCCTCTGTGAGAAAAATAAAGCATCGCTTCAGCAGACTTGGAAGGACATTATGATCAAGGAACATAATAAATATCATTYATCAAAGATGCATAAACATTAAAATACCATTATTAACATTTTTGGCTGTTTTTCCTCTATTTTCATCCCAGTTTTCAGTTTGTCATTCACCTCACAGCTTTGAAAAATCCAATGCAAAAAGTAAATCACAATGTGCAGCCTGAGTGGAAATAGTGTGCTGTGAGTTTTAGAAGTACATCGTACAGTCCAGATGAAATTTGTAAAATAATTACATTTTCCACGTAGACATGGGKTTTTTGTGAAATGAGTGAGAAAACCCAACGATGTTTGGCRCTCTAACACTGAGAAATACAGTATTCAAAGCTGAAACATCACAGAAGGTTGGACTGTATATGTRTTATTTTAACRGTTTCAAAGGTTTTTAYAMAATCCTAGTTTAAGTTTGGGGATTTKGGGAAATTTTAAGCATAAAATGTTCAAATYAGAATACAAAAATGTCATTAGCTTTTCAAACACTGAATTCATTTTTKTRTMYYYTWWMAYRTGATAGACTTGYGACCTGTCCAGGGTGTACMCTGCCCCTCGCACTGACTRCTKGGCACCAGTGACCGACSCCCRCGACCCTGAAAGGATTAAGCGGGTACAGATAATGGATGGATGGATCCTTTGACATWGTGCAGGGATCTGCAAAGTTTATGATCAAAATAAACCTTTCTGTTCCCTTGTTCACAAAACTAAACATGTTCAGAGTCGCAAAATATATGCCACAACTGTGATGATCAACTGGTGACCCATGGGCCAATTTGAGTTTGTTGAAGAGGTGTTTTTCTGCTCAGTGGAGGTAACATTGTAAAACTACACCAAAATGAGACCATATTCATGTAAATATAGAGAAAATTGATTATACCAATTTGGATAAAGATTTAAACACTGACACAGGTCACATTGTCCAAATTTTTAATTCATTTTCATTCATTTTAACAATGATTCTTTTGTCTTTAAATACTAATGTTATCAATTAACTCACAATTTGTCTTCTCTGCAATTTATTTAAAATGTTTTCCAAAACATTTGTGGTGGATTTGAGAGAAAGATCCCATCTGTAAGGCTGGAAAATCAGACCACTGAAGAGGYCAACAAGCTAACAAACACCTAGCATGATCAGCCACAGACTGCAGACCCTTGACTTGTGAGTCTCTCACTGCTATAGTGCTTGTGGATTTCTCTCGAATCCCACCAGAAAGTCGTGCACACATTCGTTAACTATCATTGTATCAGCTATCCACATTTCCTCTTCAAAACAAGAAGTGAAGCTGTTTTAAACTGTCATATTTGCAACATAAAACAGTGTAGACCCATAAAAATCAACCACAGCATTCAGCCTTTTTTAAATGATTACAAAACTGAAATGACTGTTGAGCTTTACAGAATCAAGATGATGTCAGACGTTTGAACAGTAGCTGCGCTGTCATCCTTCAAAGTTCCTTCAAGGAATCCCCAGTTTCCTGTGTAATTTTAATCAGCCTACCACCGTATCGAGCACAGACGAAAATTAGCATTTCTGCTCTCCAAACAATCTCACCATGGTGTCCAAATGTAATTTCTCAAGGAATGATTCATACCAATAACAAACAGTCAGTGAAATCTGTCTGGAGGCAGTGTAAATGATCCGACACTGTTTATCATTTAGGGAGGACCATGAATCACCTCGTGGCTGTCGTCTTCTTCACACAGACGGCAGGCTCCATCAAACAGCAGCACGGGAGGTTGCTGTGTTGCGGGGACTAGTCTGGAAGGAAAGGAAAATAATAAAAAATTGATTTCTCTGCCTCACCAAGCAGCCCGAGGGGAAATTGCTCATGTCACGCTCACACCTAAGTCACTTAGAACGATCCTTTCGACTCCTGAACGAWAGACCAGCCAGCGTGGGTAATAAAGCAGCTTGTTGCTCCTTCAGCAGCTTTCAGCTTTGCTCTCTTCTCACTGACAACATACAGTGTTTGATTCTATGGTATAAGCACATACGTACACCACTTCCTGACAGAAATGTATTAAAAAGAAAAAAAAAGTATTTGAAATTCAAGTCAAGTGCACGAGAAAGACTGACAGGTTTTTCATTGAAAGCGGGACGCTGGGCCAATCGGCTGTCACAGCTGGAGCTCTGCTGTCCCAAAMTAATCAGCTGTATTGTCCTTCGGCCTGCCAGCTCCTCTTCTTATCAGATGTAGCAAACAGAAGCCGTGCTGTGCTACATGACTGCTTACGACCAGCCGGCCTGCTCTGCGTCTTAGGAGTCCATTGTATTCTCAGCACACGCCGTCTTTCCCACACCTGTTTGAAAGTAAAGGCACCTTCAGAGAGAAAACCCCAGTCAATAACTGCTTTAGATTATGGGCCTGTAATTGCGGATGACAAGCCCTCTATTCATGTCGGTTTGAACTTGAAAGGTAATGTTGTAAATTTGATTCATTTCGTTTTTGGTTGTCGGTTTTCTTTCTTTCTGCTGATGAAATCAGCCTGTAAGCACTGGCTCAAACCATGGTCTCTTTGTGACGTTTGGGAAGGTTAAAAACGACAACTTCCTCCTATAAAGTCCAGCAGTGATTTGGGACGTGTCAATGCTTGGACGTAAAAACTGTAAAGAAAGCGCAAAGAAAACAAAGATTTAAAAAAAAAACATTCCAGCTGCGTTCAGTGGTTCTTTAAGTTCACCATGGTAATCACACATTTGTGTCTTTCCCCCCTTGTCAGCACTCTTAAAAATAAACCAGTCACTGTGTGAAAACTTTAAGTTGTTAAAAAAATGAAACTGTAAGCAGTAGAATCAGGTAGTCACCACATGTAAAGGTTTTTAGGTTGACAAGTTAAAAAGATCCAGTTTTATAAAGAAAACTTTGAACTAGATTCAGTGAAAGTCATTGAGAGTTTGGATTTAAGAGACAGCAATGGAAAACACATATTTTGATGTTTGAACTGTATAAAAGTGTAAAGTTTGTTGGCTTGAAAAGCGTTATCAAAGAAATCTGAAAGGTTTAGATTTCTCAAAGTTATAGACGTCACTCACTCTAGAAGATTCTTTTGTGGTAAAATCTTCAAAAATGATAAAGATTTCAATTTAATTTTCCAAATGTTTAAATATTCAGTGTTTCACCTGTGACCTGTGTTTGAGCTGTAGAAGCCTGAGGCTGGGCGGTATGGTGGCTCAGTGGAGCTGTTGCCTCTCACCAAGAAGGTTGCTATGACAAATCCCAGCCAGAGACCTTTCTGGGCTTGCATGTTCTCTCTGTGCATGCGTTTCTGCCAGCTTCCTCCCACAGACCAAAAACATGACTGTTAGGTTAATTGGTAACTCTAAATTGTCCCTTGGTGTGAGTGAGAGAGTGAATGGTTGTCTGTTTGATTTGAGACCTGTCCTGTGTGTCCCCCACCCCTCACTGCTGGATGTAGGAATCAGTGACCCCCATGATCCTGAAAGGAAGAAGAAGGAAGAAGATGGGCGGATGGAAGTCTGGGCYTTTTGTTTTGTCAAAACCTCGTCTTTGTGTCTGTGGACATTTTTGGCCTCTTGTTTTAAATTTACTTTACTCCAGTCAATGTACTACTAAAAGTCACATTATTCCACCAATTTTGTATAAGATTTTCTTTAAAGCGGGAATGAATCAACATCGTGTTAGGAAATGAAGAGTGGTAGGTGAAAAGCAATGACACATTTTTTATATTCCTACAGCAGCACCTTAAGTCCATTGTCACATTTTGTAATCACTGCTGCTCTAATATCCATAAGGACTCTGTGGTAGTGGCTATTAAAGTATAAGAACATATTTTTGTTTTGTTTTGTAATGTTTTTTTCCAGTTCTGYGTGCTTCTCAATTCTCCTTATGTGCCACACAGGACTGGAAAATAGATCAAGTGAGGGATTTTTGCAGCAAAGTATTTGAAAGTAGAGAAAAATACCACTCRGCAGTTTAGAAAACGAAAACTGAAGCTATGACACAAGATGAATGAGTCTCTAAAACCTGAGAAACACGGAAGCCAAAGTTATTTRTATACAAAATAGACATCATAACTTGCTGCCTTGGGACATTTCTCTGGAGGCTTGTGCAATTACAACAAAAGTAGAAAATGTAGAYTGAAAAGCATTTGATCAGATGGGAAAATAAAGACTTTGAGTACAAACAGTAACTAATAAAACAAGCAGCTGAAATGACTTATTAAAATAAATAATGTGGAGCAGGCACATTCAAGTTTTTAATTTTACTATCAAGATTTTATTTATTTATTTATTATTATTATTATTATTATTATTGTTGTTGTTGTTGTTGTTGTTGTTGTTGTTGTTGTTGTTGTTGTTGTTGTTGTTATTATTATTCAAATGTATCTTTTGCAAACCTACCACTATAGATGATCACAATGTGCAATACACTTTGAGTCACATTTTGGAAAAAAGGAAGAAGAAGAAAAACCATTGAAGAAGTGTAGAGTTAAGGAAATTGCAACAAGAAAACCTGTAGCAAAAGTTGCATGAAGTACAAATGCATGTGGGCGTACATTTACTCCCCGAATAGGTGGATAACCGTGGTTTTCTGAGTGATGGTTGAGATGGAGAAGATCAACATTTTTAATATTCGAGCGTCAACGAGCGCCCTCTTGTGTTCAACAAAATTACAACGTTGATAACTGTCTATATGGCTCAAATAAGCACAATAATGTATCAGAAACAATTTAAAAACTATCTAAGATGAAAACTTGGTTCAAATTTTCACATACAAAAGCTATTTCAAAGCAAAGACTGACACTTTCATTTTATTACACAGTAACATGTGGACACGCACACGATTGGCTGATTGCGAGGAAGTAGGCGGGACAATGGGGTAGCTGCGACCAATGGCGTTTGAGCTCCCGGCCTCACACCAAAAAGTAAACATACTTGTTTTGATCTGTCAAAAAACCAAGAGCCTCCCCTTGCACTGTACTAATTCGTGGCGTTGGGACAAAACTGATACCTTAGAGCGTGCTTGTTTAGAAGAACATCACTAAATCTTGGTTTGATTGTTGTTATAACCTAAAAGTGTCGGATTCGCTGTTTTTTAAAGAGCACACCTGCTATGCTAACAGGCTAACCAAAAACATACATGGCCCATGGGTTGACGGTTTAGCAGGAAGTAAAAACTCACTGCAGACGGTAAAACTGTGTTCCTAAAAATATGTTWATGTCTTTATAAGAGTTTTATAGATTCATTTGGACTTGTTTGTGTTAAAGTGCTACTCACTCTTCCCTAGCTACGACGTTGTRTATTTCCGCTTTTGGTTTTGTGTTTGTTTACTGCAGCTTTAATCTGTTCGGAGAATGGACCTTTGAGTGATAGCGATGCTAGACAGATGAGATGAAGCCTGAACGTCAGAGTCCTGCCATGGCYGAGGACAGGGAGCTGAGTCCATCGGGGAGAGGAGCTGGGTCATCCGGCCSTCGGGTCCGGCGGCTCTTCAGAAGTTCGACCCATTTCCGGAGCCTTGTGGACGGCCTGCTGACTCTCAGACAGACTGGCATCTTGTTTGATGTGGTGCTGCTGGTGGAGGGTCGACCTATCCAAGCCCACCGTATACTCCTGGCAGCCTCCTGTGATTATTTCAGGTATGCTGGTGTTGATTATTGCTTAATGTTAAACTCAGACTTTAATTTATTTTATTTTCACAGTGCACATATAAATGCAGTCTAATCAGTCCTGGAAGCCTAATGTCACAAGACTCAGTAACTCGGTCCAAAGTCCAGTTTTCAAAAATCCTTTGCATATTTTGAGCTTGTCAATATTTCAGTATGATAAATATACAAACATTTAGGTTCTCTCGTCTGCTTTAAACTGTCTAAAGACCTCCAAGCTGTCAACCACAAATCACGTTGAGACGGGTTGAACTGTGGTTTAGTTTGAGCACAGCTACTGTGAAATTCCCCTAAAATCCTGCTGAGGTTGAAACGTTCTGTCTAAACCCAAACCTGCTGCATTCGATATAAACAACTTCAGCATCAGGACAATTTTATGCAGCTAAGATCTCCTCCCAGTGGGGGGTGCACCCAGAAATCCTCTAGAGGAAACCGTCCACGATGCATCTTTATCAGGAGGCACCTGACTTGTTTCGACCCAGAGGAGCAGAGGCTCTGTGATGATGGAGCTCCTCCAGAGGCAGCTGCATGTATCAGGGATCTCTTTCATTTCACGTGAAGGTTGGAACACAGATGGACCAAAGCAACACTGTTGTTACAGTTTCTTTAGTTATTAGTGAACAAACACAAGGTCACTTAGTAAGAAATTAACACCTGTTTAATTTAGATTCCTGAGGTTTGTGTTTGATATGAATAAAAGTTTGGGAGCCAGTGTATTTAGGTCTAGTAAACAAAGCTAAGTGTTCATTGTAAACTCTAAAAAATGAGATATCTGCCAAGGACAGTTCATTCAGCTAACGAGGGACGACACAAGAACTAACAGGATTGTCAATGTGAAAACCTTCACCAAACGATCAGAGCAGTCAGATAGCAGACACGCCTAATTCACAACATCATGTGATCATGGGCGTCTCAACAACCTGAACTGGGTGCCTCAGACTGCTGAGTTTTAGTTGGGGTTTTTTTTGTTTTGTTTTTGTTTTTTTTCTGAGAAACCGATTCTTAAGTTTAGTTTAGTTTAGTTTAGTTTAGTTTAATTTGGTTTAGTTTAGTTTAGTTTAGTTTAGTTTAGTTTAGTTTAGTAAGTACCTCCATTAGTTATTACCTCAGCAATAACTGTTCTTCCTGGGGTCCACATAAAAACATCATATTAGCAATAAAATCACAACAACGTTACAATGACATGACGATAAACTTGGTAATACAATCATTATACAAATATTAGTTCATAAAAAACTTAATGCAATCAAATATACAAATAGTACAAAAAATAAACAAATAAATGCAAGCTAAGCATATATCTAGGGGTGTAACAATACATTGATCTATATCGATTGTAGTGGTTCATGATTCAGTTATATTGAGGCAAAATGAAAATATCGATCTATATCGTCATATTCTCGATGTAAATCGATACCAAATGTCCATCTAACACAGTCATTGTGTTAGATGGGCATATATCGCATTATATCGATCGCAGACATGTGAACTGAATTGAATCGAAATAATCATATCATGACAGACTTTGTGATATCGAGAAATATCGAACTGTCATCCAAACATATCAATGTAATATCGTATCGTGATAAAGCTGGTGATTTACACCCCTAATATCTAATATACACTTAATATTATACTAAAAATGTATGTTATTCATCAGGAGTACAGTTCATGCTCCACATGTGTGTTTTAAACTCAAATGGCAGCTTTTGCTTATTTACRACCAGCCAGAAGCCATTTTGCTGCTTTCAGTTTTCCAACGGTGCATTTGTTTTGTATTTACGATCAAATCGTGATGTGACCCCTCATCATCAGCACCGGCAAGTCTGATGGAGGCACGYTTCACTTTTCTCCACCAGGGGGATGTTTGCTGGAGGCCTCCGGGAGATGCAGCAGAACGAGATCCCAATCCACGGAGTTTCCTTCATGGCCATGACAAAAATCCTGGACTACATCTACACGTCTGAGATTGAGTTGGACCTGGAGAGTGTTCAGGAGGTCCTGATAGCCGCTACGCTGTTGCAGGTAGGATGGAGCGAGGCGGTTGCTCCTTTTTTTGTCCTTTTTTTGTTGCGTCATAAAACATGTTGGTTTTTACAGCTTGAAAAGGTCATTGGTTTCTGCTGCGACTTCCTGTTCTCCTGGCTGGACGAGAGCAACATTTTGGAGGTGCACCACCTGGCGGATCTGTACGAACTGCAGCTGCTCAAAGCCAGGGTCCACTCCTACATCCTCAGGAACATTCAGACTTTGTCTCGGACAGACGTGTACAGGCGGCTCCCCGAAGAGGACGTCTTCAGAGCGCTGAGCAGCGACGAGCTGCAGGTGGCCAGCGAGAACGAGGTGTACGAGGCGGCACTGCACTATCATTACAGCCCTGAGGAGGTGGAGACTGACCAGGTGTACTTGCAGGTCAGTCCGAAGGTGCGCTTTTAATTCTCTACTCATCTGGCCTTGATGATATCTCTTCAATGATGTCTCTTCACTGTTTCACCACACGAGTAAATACTAAGCCTTTTGCGTCTTTCCCAGGACAATCTCCGAATGCTCGATGCCGTGCGCTTCTGTCTGATTGAGAAGCAAACGTTGCAGAGGCTCCACAGCCGGCTGAAGCAGTGCCCGCTGAAGGACTCGGTGTCCGCGGCGCTGCAGTACCACGAGCAGGAGATCTGGCAGCCCGAGCGGCAGACCCCTCTCACTCAGCCGCGCTCCACCTTCCACTGCGTCCTGGGCTTCGGGGGCATGTTCAGCTCCAGCTCCCCGGCGGACAACGAGCACCCGTTCCACGTCTTCCACCCGAGCTGGAGGGAGTGGAGGACTCTGGCTGGCGCTCCCACGCCACAAATGTCCAACCAGGGCATCGCCGTCCTGAACAACTTCGTCTACCTGATCGGAGGGGACAAGAACACGAGCGGGTTTCGGGCAGAGAATCGCTGCTGGAGGTGAGAGCCTCACAAATTGTTTTGCTTTCCATATGCAAAAACAGGATTATTACTTTTCTTTTTACACATTTAAAGTCAGAAAATGACTTGAAACAGCCCCTACATTCTCAGATAAATGATTGAATCAGATGTTTCAGATTAAACTGAACTAGTTGTTGCTTGTTAAAACTGTGACAGCGTTCTTGTGGATCTTTAAAAAGTCTTTGAATTGAAAAGGCATTGAATTCATCAACCCCAAAATTAATTAGCCTTAAATGTATTAAATCGAGCTTTCAGAAGTCTCAACTATGTTAAATTATTGTAAGTAGGATGTTAGTTAGTTAGTTAGTTAGTTAGTTAGTTAGTTAGTTAGTTAGTTAGTTAGTTAGTTAGTTAGTTAGTTAGTTAGTTA